CCTGTGTCCCAAGCCAGACTTCCTCTGTGACCCTCAACCACATGCTAAATCTTGCTGAGCCTCGTTTTCACCCAGAAAAGAAGTAAAATATTCTAATTAATTATATTTACTAAAACTTACTATGTTAGAAGACAATTGGTAAACTACAGCATTTATTTCTATACTTTAGTTTCTTCTATTTATTTGAAAATAAAAGAAACTCTAGTCATTGAAATTTATTACTAATTTATGAAACCATCATTAAATGCTACACTTTAATCAATAATCCGATGCAAACGTAGTTGAAGGATAGATACCATTACACCAAAAACAAGATAGTAATTATTTTTATAAATGAATCTTGAACATAAAAGACTAGAGGTTCTAATCCTAAAGTTTAGTACAAGATATGTTTATTTCCTGGATATTCTCTGAATAGCTAATGTTGTATCTTTAGTACCTTTAATTCTACTCCCTTATATAATAAAATATACACTTTAACATGAACCAGAACATAAGTGGGTGTACATATTTGTACAAATTGGTGAGTCATTCATATGTTTAATAAATGATTGAAATATCTAATTATGCTTCTCATATTCATAAAAAAATGCTATAGACCTCATTGAAAATTATCCTCATCACTGAATTTGTAAGGAGTTTTTCTTCCTCTATATCTGGACTATATGTTTGTACATATGAATATAATGAAGGTTTAAATGTTTATTTTATGAGAGGCATGAATAAAATGTCTTATTTTTCTCATTTCTGCCTTAATTCAGTGAGAACAAAGCCTATGTTGCAGTACCTTTGGGTATTGTTTGACAGGAATCAGAACTCTTTCTGAGAGCTTTATGTTTTTGTTGCTGATGACATCAAGATATTTCTTTTCTTCGTCTTCCTTTTTTCCATCAGAACCTTGAAATTTTTCAATTTCTGAAAAAGATCAGGAGAAAAAAAAGAGGTGAAATGAGAACAGAAGCAATCATCAGTATACTGATTGTTCATATTACTCCTCTTCTCCAATAAGACGTTGCAAAATCCTGAAGCAGGCCTGAAACAGCATCTTGCTAGTAGTGTGTGATGTTGCTGTGTGGAAGGTGACCTGTGTTAACCAGAGTCAAACAGCGAGAATTGAAAATATCACTGTTTCTTCTGTGAAACAAATGAAGCATTTAACCAATTTTAATATATATTAACAAAATAGCAGGAAAATATGTCCTTACACTACTTGAAATAAGCAAACATAACTTCCCAAAAAGCAAAATATATTTAAAGTTGCTTTATTTTGACTCACAATTATTCCTAAAAGAACATTCTAAAAAATAGAAGTAAACATCCAGTTACCTAAAATACATAGTAAAGACAAACTGTGTACTTTTACATTCTAACCAATTTTTTTTAATTTTAAAGAGATAAAAAAAATAAAAACAATGCAGAATTTGAAAACAAGATGATAAGAAATTAACAATGGTTATTATATTGCATATTGTTATCTTCAAAGAAGTTGCTCATATTACCAGGTACAGGGATACAAAAATGATCAGACAATATAAGCACTAACTGTTCCTTTCAATGAACTAATAGAAATTAGTAGTACAATTATCTTAGCTATCGTGTGTATATACATCTTTTTTTCCCTTTTTTCTCTTTTCCTCCATCCCAGTTCTTAAAAATAATTAAAAGGGGTCAAAAAAGTCATACAAAGTGATGAGTTGTACAAATGTTAGTTATATCCGTCAGAATTTATAAATTGTCTTGATGTTTGAGAGAACTACCTTGTACCATCATAAATACTTCCAAAATAGATATTTTATGCTTATGCACACTAGTCAACCATTTTTTGACATTTACTTTACTCTATACAAATTTAAAAAACAAGAAAATGTCTCTGCTTTTGGGAATCTATGAGGAAAATGAACAACTCGAAGATGAATATATGTACAGAAACATTTCCATGGGGAAATGCAGTAAATACAATAAAGTTATTAAGAATCTAAAGCAGAGTAGAAGTCAAGGGGTGGAACTATGACTTTCTATTTGTAAGGTGATATTTAGGCAAAGTCTTAAGTGATGAAAAAGAGTAAGACACAGGAAGACAGAGCTGTAGAGTCTGATGAAGAGAAAGCTGGTCTTGCTCTTCAAAAAGAAAGAAGTAAAAAAGCCTGTGGGCTGCAAAACGTGAATATAGAGCAAGGTTTGATGGCAGTCACAGGACATGCAGTCAAGCTTTTGCAGGACATGTGATACTTCTTGCTTTCATTGTGAATGTGAAACTAGACAGTTTTGAGTTGGGGAGGTTGCCATGTTCAATTTTTATTTATAAAGAGAACATCATATGCAAAAACAGTTGCAGCAGAAGGCAAGCAAAACAGACAACCAATTTCTATTCATCTGACTGAGAAACGATGCTGACTTGAACTAATAAGGTAGCAATGAGATGGTGAGAACAATGCATAGATGAAACTAGAGTCCCCTGTGTGGATTTCACTGTGCAAAATAAATGTACTGGAGAGCTACAGAACAATGCATGCTACTAATTCCCTTCATATGTATTTGTTATTTTTACTATAAACATTATCTGTAATTATTTCCTCTTTCCTTGGTTTTGGCCAACTGTACTGTTCCAAAAGCACTAAGTAAATTAAAAACATGACGGTAAAACTTTTTTACTTTTGTTACAGATCAAACAGCACACTGTGTCTGTTGTTCTGGAATAAAGAAAATGACTGCTGTTCAATATAGACAGTTTTAGTTATATCAAATTATACTGTACTTTGAAACAATTATTTCTAAAGGGTTAACTACTTCCAAATTTAAGAGGAATATTCTATCTGCTTTCTTCTTTATTGTTCTATTTTTAACTATTATTTCCAAAAATGATTTGATGTAGCTTATAGAAAAATCCCTAACATTACAGATAGTAACCTACTAGCATACTACTTATCTGACTCACATGGAATTTGAAACAGTCTTTCTGAAGTATTAAAGTTCATGAACTTAATTTGTCCCACAATGTTGGAAAATATGGCCATGTTTGTGTTTGTATGGGCAAGGTGGCCACGGTTGTATCTGTCACCTGATATAGTGTTTACAAATGAAAACAAAATTTGCCACATGATTTTGTGTGCAAATCAGACTGTTCCCAAACGAACGCATTTGTGAACCGAGGTACCACTGTATTATACTGCTTATCCTGATCACGTCCAAATGAAATCGCAATGTGTAACGCAGTATGTAGTCTTTTATAACTATCTATTGCTGTGATTTACCTAAAGACAAGTTAAATACACTTAACTTTTTAAAAATAAGATAAATATCCACAGATTTGTCTTCAGTATGGCAGCATCAGATTCCTACTTTCCTACTCCAAAGCATTCCTAAGTCACTTTTATCTGATGGCTATTTAAACCAAGAAGCAGTCTATATCCAGGCCTTTCGGTCCACTATATAATTATTACATCCAGGCTCTGACAACTGCAGGAAGGGTATTCATGAGGTCCTCTGATACCCACAATGACTTTTGATCACTGCTCTTGGGAAACGTGCACCTACCTAATGCACACTCCCCAGCTTTGCTGAGGCAACACCAATATGAGATACACTGAAGAAGCTGACTCAATTCTCAGTCTATTATATGAATGGCTCCTTTGTCACTTTGTCTTAAAAAGAAATTGAATTTGTCTGACATTATTTGCACTCCACAAAACTACTACCTTAGGCTTTTTCGACGTTTACAATTTGATCATTCCATGATTAATTCTAATAACCTTCCCATCCAGAAGTAGAGCTGACTGAAATACAATTTTTGCTTTTTTTTGCTCATTTCTGCAATTTCTTTTTAAAAGTTTTCATGTTTATTTTGTTCTTCTGATACTTTCATGGTTATCTTGCCTTTCCTCACATATCTTTATGACCAATAGCTCAATAATGACCAATAGCTCACTAACTGTATCTGCCAACTGCATGTCACAAAATGGCATGTTGAAACTTGCCTGATTTTAAAACCAAGAATGCCTTTGCATATAGCACCTTTCCTTAATTTTTTATCTTAAATACTTATTTTATTCCATGATTAATGCTTGTTCATTGTGAAATGTTGAGACAACACAGGTATCCATGAAACTCCAATGGCATACAGAATCTTATCACCCAGCAGTAAGTGAACAGCACTGTGTGGAGATATCAGGTCATTTTTCTACACGTGTCTGTAACATCTACTTAAATGTGGCTGCCATGTTACTGATAAAACATACTCAACCTGAGGGGGTTAGTTTGTATGTTTTTTTAAGCTAGTAAACTACAGATGCTTTAATAGTTCATGTTCTGGAGCTGGGGATTTAGCTCAGCGGCAAAGCGCTTGCCTGTCAAGCACAAGGTTGTGAGTTCGGTTCCCCGTACCGGAGAAAAAAAAAAAAAAATAGTTCATGTTCTTTCATGCTTTCATTTCCTGCTCCTAAATCCTGACAAAGACCCCACAAAAGGTTCAATACAGTGAACATACATTTAAGAATCCTCAAGAAAACATTAGGAAACTGAATTCAACAGTATATTTTAAGGATCATATACCATGGTCAAATGGAATGCAAGGATATTCCAATACATGCAAAACAATCAATTTGATATACTACATTAACAGAGGATAACAATAACATGAAAAAATAAATGCAGAAAAAGCACTTAACAAATTTGGGTATCCATTCAGATAAAAATTCTCAAAGAATTAAGTACAGAAAGAACTTGCTCAAAACAATAAAGGCCACATATAAAAACCTCACATATAACATCATACTTGATGATGTAACTGAAAACTTTCCCTCCAAGATCCAAATAGGGGATGGAGGCTCACTCTTGCTATTTCTATACAAGGGTCTACTCCTAAGTCCTAGTTAGAAAAATTAGGCATGAAAAAGGAAAAAAAGTGAAGAAATGAAAACCCTGGTGCATTGTTGGTAGGAACATAAATTGAGGTAGCCACTATGGAAAACAATATGGTGCTTCCTCAAACAATTAAAAATACAAATACCCTGGGATCTAGGGGCTATAATCTGAATAGTTATATCCTCTCAAAACTCACATATTAAAATTCCAAACCCTAAGGTGATGGTATTGTAACTGCACCTTTGCAAGAGAATTACTTTCTGAATGCAGATCTCTCACAAGTAGGATTAACTGTTTTGTTAAACAGGCCAGAGGGAGAACTTACTGTTCCACCCAGCTGGGTCACACGTAGAAGGCTCTGTGCAGGCCACATGAAGTGAGCTTTCATCAGATCTTACACTGGTCAGTGCCATGAACTTGGACTCTCAGCCTCCAGAATTAGGAAAAATAATTTTCGATTGTTGTAAGTCACCCAGTTTTTAGTAACTGGAAAGGTCAAGATATCAGCAGGGCCACTTGTACATATACATCCACAAGACCTGAAATTAAGATCTCTAAGACGTGCTTACATTCCCCTATCTTTGCAGCAATCTATTGAATAGCTGTGTCATGGAAGCAAGTTAAAAGCCCACTGCTGAGGGATGGGTAAAGGAAGCGTGGTATATAAACATAATGGAATATTACACAATGTTAGAAAAGAAAATACTACCATTTCTAACAACATGGATGAACTAGGAGCATGCTGTACTGCATTAAATAAGCCAGACACTGGACAAATACTGCATGATTTTACTATGTCCTCCCCCAATTTATATATTGAAATTCTAACCCTAAGAAGATGGTTTTTGAGTCAGGCTTTGGGGAAGTGACTAGGTCATGAGGGTAGAACCCCCATAAATGGATTAATGCCCCTATAAAAGAGGCACAGAGGAGCTCATTTACCACTTTGACCGTGGAACCAGGATTGTGGGCCCTCACTAGACATCCGCTAGTGCCAACCTCCAGACTCGTGAGAAATACATTCCATTTTACAAGCCACCCAGCTACGGTA